TGTAAATGGTTATTTTGAGGAGCTTGACGAATCAGTCTATAGAGATGGCATTAATAGACTGGAACACCGCTATGAGAAATGTATCAGCCTTGGAGGAGATTATGTTGAGAAATAAAAAAAAAAAATTTTTAAAAACCTTGTTTTTCTTGGTCAGGCCGGAAACTTATCAATCCACCCTCGTATATTAATTCGACGGATTTGTGACCTAATAAGTACGGTTTGTCGTTGTTGCTGTTGTCATCTCTCGTAGCTTATTGGTCAAAGCATTGGCGCGTAAAGCCAAAGAGCCCGGGTTCGATTCCCGGCTTAATATTTCATATTAAACTAACTCACTTCTAAAAGATGTCTAAAAATTGTATGTATGTTTAAACAAATTATTTATTGACAAATACTTAATGTTATTTAACCGAAAATTATCTTTTTACATATACTATTACATAAACTTAAATTATTCAATTATTTACAGCCTCTTATCCCTATTCCTACTCTATACCTTTGTCTCCCACCTAATACTGCTTAAAATCTTCAACCCCCATCCTTCCTTAGTGACTCGTAGTATTCTTCATAGGTTCCACTATTCTCACATCCTGCTCCTAACACATGCTTCAAACTCTCCTTCTTTCATTCACATATCCTACATCGGATTTCTTCTTCCTTTTTCCAATACCTACATCATACACATTCTCTGTTCTAAATTTTGTCATTACACATATTTCCCTCCCTCTTCCTGAATACATTGACACCTAGTCCTCCTGCCGGTCCCTCCAAATTATGTTCTTTACACACACTACATATCTAGATCTTTTTATTTTTCCTAGATGCCTCCCTCTTATTATTTCTCTGCATCTATTTCTCACAAATTCTCCTATCTTTGACCGTTTCCTGAACCACCCCTCACCTACTCTTGTTTAATTATTAAAATCTTCAGCGCTCCCTCCCTCTCTATATCATATTCACTTTTTGCCCCTATTTCCATTACTTTCTTCCTTCATATTTCCTTGCCTACGTCCCCATCCCTGCCTCCCTAATCTTTCCTAATATTTTACTACCCTTTTTATTACTTCTTCCCACATCTCCCCCATTTTGTCTCCCACCTAATTTGGCATACCCCTTTCTAATCAATAATATATAATAATTCTGTTTGTTTCTTTCTCCTATTCTTATATTTCCCCCTCCGTAAGGCACACTACCCCTCCCCATCTCATTAAATAACATCATACTCCTACCCCAATCTTCCTTTTATAATTTCTGACCTAAACCCAATAACATTCCCATCATTGCCTTCCATTTAGCCACTTGATCTATAATATGCATGTCATCTCTATTATTGTCACTTAACGTATATCATAGGTGAGCATACGTCTTCACCTTTTCTATCTCCACTCCCTTCCATACTATTTTGTGCTTTTGCCTTCCCTTTCTTCCTCTCTTTTTCCCAACTTCCATGATCTTCGATTTTTCACTATTTATTTCCAGTACCTTCTTTATTAAGTAGTTCTCCTGCTTTCCTACCATTCCTTTCAATTCCCCCCAGCAAACTATTCATTAATCAACAATTAATAAAATGGTGAATATTAATTAAAAGTTTGCGTGTTGTATTTTGGGGAAGGCTCTACAGATGCAATAAAATACAATTTTTTAACGAAGACTACGTGCGTTCTTTCGTAAATAATAATTTAACAATTATTAGGTAATGGATCTGGAAGTGCAACTAAGGGCTGCAGAAGTCAGAAAGTCGGAGTTGGAAAGAGCCCACGCGGAGGCATTGGCGGCATTGAGAAATTGTGGTCCTGACCTGTTGGAAGCCAGACAGTCCAAAGTACGAGAACTGGAGAAAAAGGTTGCTTTGGAAACGGTCAGGTTAGTTTTAAATAAAAAAAAAACTTCACAAGTGAACGCTATCGGTAATATTAAAAAGCAAAAGTATAAATAACATAACCCATTTATATCGAAAATGTCCTGAAAAGTAAAAATAAAATGCGCAACCAACAATTTATGCTGTGTTAAAGTAAGTAGAGTTTTTTATTTTTCAGTCGGTACTTCTTAAGCATATGTAAAAGATTCTCTTCAATATTTACTATCCTACCTAACTTTATTTCTTATGTCGGGTGTTGTGGTCAGAACTAATGCATAAAGGAGATTTCTCAAGAAACTGATAATGCATCAATTCCTATTTTTTGAAGTCATACAAAGTTAAGGGTTTAGGATCTGCCCGTAAACCATCTGATTCCAGTTTAGCTTGTTTTTACGTCTCTCCTCTCACATAGTACATCATGGTTTTATCCTTCATTGCCTCACCTTCCCAAAACAATGTATTCTTTTGAACATTTTGAACAAATGCACTCGATCAAGATGTTCTTACAAAAATGTAAGTCGATCAAGAAAACCCTACACTCTATCTTCATCGATTTAGAGAAGGCTTTTGACCAAGTCTCAAGATGTTTGATGTGGACAGGGCTTCGTACCGGAACGGTACATTAACTTAATCAGAAGTATGTACTAAAGTGTCATAAACCCTGAAGATTTTCATGTGAGCGTGGAAGTACACCAAAGCTCTTCTCTGCGAGTTCGCTTTTATTCAACAAAGCAAGGGATTTTGTAACCGAAGATTTGCAAGACCATTTCATTCCTATAGCTAGTAATGCTGGAAGGTAAAGCGGCAGATCGTCTTCAGCCTTCTTTTAGGAGTCATGGTGAGAGTTTAGGGTCGAAAATATGAGGCGGACGAAATGATAACAGCATTTATCTAAGTGATCCAAAGAAACACAGAAAAACATGGACCAGGACAGACGTACCGGAATCAAATCGGTGCCCTCCCAAAAACTATGCAAAGATGAACCCTTTTATATGCGGATGACGTAGGTAGTACCCGTATCAGGATCTGTACAATTGACTGGAAAGTGTGCGGTACCTTTTCTGGATCAGACGTAAACAAATCGATAATACGCCTACAACTAAAATAAACAAATTCAAATATCTTGGGTCCATGCTAACAAGTGAAGTGAGCACGAATGATGACATTGACAACAGGATTCAAGCAGGTTGTCGCAATGAAATAAAGGTCACTGTCTAAATCCCAAAATAATAAACCCATTAGCGTACAATTTTGTGGCAAAAAGTTTTCTGTTAGCAAATTTTACTACTTCACCATTCGACACCTTTCAGATACAAAGAGTTACAGTTGAAGTTGATGGCATCGTATCGTTTCTAAGGATTTAAAATAGATCATAGAAAAATTTGCGAACTTTTAAAGACTTACAAGCTTTACAAAAAAGATATAGGGTTGTTCGGAAAGCCATTTCGTTTTTTTTTTTGTGGAAATGACAGTTTTCGTATAATAAACAAATACTTTATTAAATTATATATTGACCGTTCTGGTCCAACACCTTTTGCCATCTTTCTGGAGGAGGTTTTTGACCTCCTCACTTGAGGTGAAGGTTTCTTTCTGGCTTGAACAGCATTTTTACCCTTTCTGTGGTAAAACAGTAAGATATGTCGAAAATGCTGCTTATCGCTCTCCATATTTAAAAGGGCACCAACCAAAAACTACTGCGTAGAATTAACTGGAATTTTTCACACACAAGCCTTGCTATATTATACGGCTTAAATGTGAAGTTGGGTGCAAAAGAATACAATTAAATCCTCTGTCGGGAAAAAACGAAATGACTTTCCGAACAACCCGATAGAAGGAGGTAATTTCATGAATTACTTATCATTAAAAGTTAAAATAGCGTTCAATTTTTTGGAAAAAGTCTTGTATTGCTGAAATGTGCTACTATTGGTGCAGCAGCCAATTTTGCTGCTTCACTCTTTGACATTTTTCAGATGCGAAGAGTTACAGTTGGAGTTGGCGGCATCTCAGCGTAGCCGGGGCCAGCAGCATCTCGGTGTGACGACGTCGCAATCGACGGCGTCGTCGGCCGTCGCGGCGGCCTCGCCGCAGTGGTCTACTACGGCGATCGCGGGTGGAACTGGCGGTGGAGGCGTTGGAATCGGGGTTGGTAGTGGTGGTGGTGGTGGCACGAAGGGCAACGAAATTGAGCGCATCATGGCAAAGATTGAACAGGATAACCGAATCCTTGCTGAGCTCGATCACAGTCGTTCTACGACGCTTGGTCAGTATTTTTGTCGTGTACGATCCTGTCTTATATCCTTTTCTGTCAGTTTGTTTGTTTGATTGTTTGTGTGTTGCGTGAACGAACGGGGTTAGTGTGTCCTTTGGAATTAGGCCTCGTCCTGTTCGATAAATACCTACCGTTAGAAAATTGGAAAAATGAATTTGTTGGTAAGAAAGTTAGATAAAAAATGAAATTTAAAACGTTTAATACTCTAATTGATACAATCCTTATTTTTAATACAGATGCTATGCTTTTTACAATTAACTTAATGATTTTTTACAACACCATGGCCCCATCGAAAGTATTGAAATAACGAATGCTTGAGCATTGCGTGCAGCATAGGAAGCAATTTGCTTTACGCGTTTTGAGATTCAAATAACATATATTTTATTGATACAGATGTTAGCACTGATTTAGAATTATAAATGCACTATTTAATAATGACCTCTAGGCACAAACAGTGTAAATATGAAAGTAGTTTAGCTTCCCTATTTGTTTAATTTATTTAAAATATTTTTAAATCGTCCTCTGGTGATGACTACATTCATCCAGGACATTGAAAAAACCTTAACACATATGAAGCAAAGTATAAAACCAAAAGAAAGTAAAAAAAAGGATACGTATGTTGTTTGGTGTCTGTAGGAGCCGGCGCCCAGGATTCTCCCAGAACAAGGACCCACACAGAACTATGTTTATGGATATTTTTTTAACGCCTAATCACGGAGTCTCGCTCTCCATCTTTGCATGAGAACAGTGCCTCTCATATGTCGCAATCGTTGTCTTTCTCTCTTTACTTTAATCTTCTTATCTAATTTTCTACGTTATCTTCATGCCCCGTCTGATCCTTACATTGATATCACCCTTATTTACCCTACCATCTTCGTATTTACCCGCGCTTTAAGATGAAGCCTTGGCAGGTAGGGAAATATCAAAATTGAGAAAACCCCCGATAAATCACAATGGAACCAAAATTGAAAAAATCCCAATAAAATACTATGGAACATTTCGAAAACCTCGCATTCATCCGAGCTCCAAGATAAAGCCTTAGCAGGTAGGGAAATACCAAAATTGAGAAAACCTCAATAAAACACAATGGGACATTTCGGAAATCTACATCCAAATAACCACATGACACTTTTTCTGTTAAATAAAAAGAAAAGAACATCAAACCTTAGCTGGCTTATCTAATGTCTCATTTTTTAATATAAATCAGAACCAGAATGCCATTATTAATTGCACAGGATTCCGTGACTCCAATTTTTTGGCGTCTCCCTAGATGTTCGAGTTATAGAGGTTCTACTATATTTAAAATTCGCGACTTTTTTCAAAAAATTATGATACGATCATAGAAAAACGCATTTTTTAAAACTTGAAGACCTTGCCTTTTTATCCGTCCACCGATCAGTACTAATTGCAGGATTAGCAACGACGAATAGAATTAACGAATATAAATAACGGTAATTAACATTTCAAATATAAGTTACGTAATATATCAACTCTTTAGTTTATTTTTCTGTTGCAATTCCCCGAATACGTATAAAGTGTAAAGCGGGGTGTATCGTGTGTAGGCGTTCGGTCTATAAAATGAAGTTATTCAAATGAACCTTGAACCATATTTTATGAGAAGTGGGTGGTTCGTGCTTAGGATTGCAAGAGTGCGTATTATTGAGCCTCTATTATATTGCGAGTCAATATGCAAACTGTGTTACCCAGAATTTGAAATCTGGAGCATATTAGGATGTAGGCATTACATATCATTAGTGCAGGGTGCAAGAGAGATATGCAACATCATTTTAGAAAAGCATGTTTGAGATAACAAGGTATATATTTGTGATATTTTAATAACATTCGTAAATTGTTATTTCAAAAAACTGTTGCTGCTTTTGCATCCAATTTCAATTTCGAACTTCGTACTTTTATTTAGTCAAGCATTTAGCTCAAGTCTGAGTTAACATTTTGTTTAATTTCATATTCAAAATTTCTAGGAAAATCAATTTTAGTTTAACACTTTCTTTTTTGTTTTTTAAAAACTTAGCAGTTTAGCTGCATTTGAATTATCTTTTTAGCAGTATCGATAGTTAATAAATGCAAAATTGAATTACATTTTTAACTGCGAAATTTTATAGGAACACAAACCAGTGCTGCTCACATCAAAATGTTTAAATTATGCTTAGCGGATGTGTAGTTTACCAGTGGCGTAATGAGTGGGGTGGGGGGGGTGGCGAAAACTTCCATTTGAACGTATATTAGGGTGATTTAAAATTTCTTTTTTCAAATAGGCTTAATAGTTGCAAGTACGAGGGCGGTTCAATAAGTACCAGTGTTTGAAGACAAAGGACGTTCCTGAGGGAAATTGGTGTTGTCATCGTGTGCTGTCATCTTTCGAACCACGCCAAAACGAATTTCAGACTGATTGATAGGTTAGTTTGGATTTGGCAGCCATTCGACTGAGACGTGTTTCGTTATTTTCGCTAAGATGGAAAAAGAGCAGTATCGTTCGGTAACTCGCTTTTTGTTTTTGGATGGGAAAAAATGCGAGGAGATGAAAACAAAGTTGGATACTGTTTATGGAGACATTTCGCCATCTACGACCACAGTTAGATATTGCTTCAACGAATTTAAACGTGGGCAAAGATCCGTTTTTGATAGGAGCGACCAGGAAGCCTGGCAAACGTTGTTACCGAGGAAATCATTTTACGGATTTTTTAGGAAAAGGAAGAACGATCACTGGACAATACTACAGTGAGTTATTGGACCGCTTCGACAAAAAATTGAAGGAGACACGGACGCATTTGACGAAAAAGAAGGTGCGTTTTCAACACGATAACGCACCGGCACATTCATCAGGAGTTGTTGCCGCCAAAATGCATGAATTACGTTATGAATTTGCTGCCGCACTCCCTGATTTGACTCCCTGTGACTTCATCATGTTCCCTACCATGAAGAAATGACTAGCGAGAAAGAAATTTAGCTTAAACGAGGATGTCATCGCCGAGACAAGGGGGATTTTGGAGAGTTCGACAAATCTTATTATTTGGAGGGGTAAAAAAAATGGCAGGGTCGTTAGGAGAAGTGTATCTTTCTAAAAGGGGACTATGTTAAAAAATAAAAAAAAGGTGTCTTCATTTCTAACACGGGTACTTATTGAACCGCCCTCGTATATCTATTTGTAGAGAACTCTAATCCAAGAAAGGCTGCTTCATTTTAAACGTTATATTATATCATAACATTTTTTGTAAGATATATTTGGTCACCTTGATGTATACATACAATATATGTGGGTAACCTTGTGTGTGGGAAGGTCGTCGAGAGTATAAATATCTTTAATCGTTCGAAGATGGAAAGAAGGAGCCATGGCGAAAGAATAATAACGTTCCTGGCAAAAAAAGCCCAAAGAAGGGAGCAAGCCGTATCCCTCTTTGAACTGATGCCAAGTTTCTTGTTCTGGATCCGGATGAGAAAAGAACGTCGTGCTGCCAACTCCACTCGCTTAATTCCGGTCTGCCCGGTCTGGCTTCGTCTGCTACTACGACATATCATGTCCATGACTTTGACGACGATAATTTTGTGCAACTAACCGAGCCGGCTTAACATTGATTCGTTATGTAAAAGAGATAGCAATCGGCCTCTCCCCGTCTGTAAAATATATATAAGGTACAAATCCACGCCAAACACCAACGAATCAATAAATATGCTATCAATGTTCTTTCACCTTAACGAGCTTTCATAATGATGGATCGTTAAATGTTCTTTTTGTTCTTTTGTGATAGGTTCATTTTTTGATTTGATTAACTGCAGTGAACCAAAAAACCACATAGCTGATCTACTTGCACGAGTTACCTGCATTAAGAATCTCAAAATTTAAAGTTCGTTATATTTCAATCATAGTCATCCTTACTAAAAGAGGAATTGTAAGAAGACTCTTAATTTGTGGTATCCAGAGTATTGAAAGATGAAGACTTTTTAAGCCAATGAAATTTTTTACATACTTATTAGGTTTTACCAGTAGTTTTGTTCGAGTTGAAGTCCTAAATAAATGTTAAAGATCATCGACGACCACATAAAACTAATTTTTTCTATCCCACGGGAATAGTACTTTTTCTGTGGATAAAAGGTACCCTATGGCCTTTCCTGTACCCCTCACATGTGTGTACAAAATTTCATGATGGGTTTTAGCCTCAGCTTCGCTCACGGCGATATCCTAAATATGTGTCAAAGATGATCGATGACCACTTATATAAAACTAATTCGTCTATCCTTTGGGAACAGTTTTTTTCTGACTACTCTATGCCCTTTTCTGTACCCCTAATAATATTCGTATAAAATTTCATGATATTTTTTACCGCGGATTCGCTTGCGTTAATGTCCTCAATACGTATCATTGACGATCACATAAAACTAATTTTTTTCTATCTCTCGGGAGCAGTATTTTTTCGACAAAAGGTATCCTATGTCCTTTTCTGAATCCCTGGCAATGTGTGTACAAAATGTCATCATAATCGGTTGAGTAATTAAGGCAAGAAGTGGTAGCAAACAAACAAACTCACCTTCGCATTTGTAATATTATTTAGGATTACTAACAAAATGTCCAGTGAATCAATTGTTATAATCATTATAAAAAGATTTTTTTAATATCATCAGAAATGGAGTGAAAATGCTTCAAAATCTAAACAAATTAATTTATTTTCTCCATTCAAACTAAATTGTGTTTGAGAAACATCATACGTATTTCGTACATAATCGTCGTTACTAGACGATATGTAAAGATTATACACTTATTTAACCCTGATGGTGTGGGAAGATGAATTTTTGATGATTAACCAAAGAAAATCACAAAACTAGAACGATTTTTGATTTACTTTCTTTCGCTGGTCTAAATTAATCATTGGAAAATTTGAAAGCTCATTGTATTTAATTTAGTAGGTATCATAATTACTTTTTCAGACCAACCGAAATTTCTAATCTAGAAATTGTAAACTTATCACATTAGTGACCGTAAGAACCTGGTTTCAGTTAAAACTAGATTTACCCAGTAAACTAATATCCTATAAAGAAGTCTATTTTTGGGATAGCTTTGAAATTTATTATTTCTATTGAAGAGTATTTATAGTTTACAATGTATGGATTAAAAGAATAACTATCCTTTTTTTTCTACCCATATCAATTAAAAATAGTTGTAACATTTATTGATTTTATTTTTACTGTCTTTACTTTTCCGATAATCTTCCAAACTATATCTTATAAATTTACAAAGAAATATGTTACAGTAAGGAAATTTCAGTTTTGTTTCGCTTATTTATTTATTTATTTTCGTATTCGACTTATCTATTGCTTAACATATATTTACTGTCACCAACCCTACTTTATTTGTAGACACTATTTTTGTTTGATTATAAATCCAAATCCTGCAATTTTGCTGGAGACGGCAGACAGTCTGACGATTTTCCATTTTCGACATTTTTATCCCTTTTCGCCAAAGCAATAGGAACATGCAGTTTGCATCGATTTGTCTCATTCCTAGATGACGACGTCTATTTTTAGTGAAATCGACATAAATGACTGTGTGGAGCTTGCAGCTTCTAGAAAATTTCTGTCTTTGTCTTTTGCATACATTTTGTTTACTCCCTTATTTTCATATTCTGTCGTTAATGGTTGTTAAAGTCAAACAAAAAGGGAGTATTTCCAACTTTCCTTTCCTTTTAAAAGCATACTACCTTTAAGTACATGGAAATAACTAACCCCTGTATGAACAAAAAGAGAATGATTCCACAATTTAATTCCATTTAGGATCATTCAATGTTTTTGGATTGATGGACGTTTAGGATTTAAATAAAACTTATAATTGTGAAATTGTTAAATTAAACTGCACTTTACTTTGTTTATTGGTATTTTATTAAAACCTTGATTGAAACAAACATATGTTTTTACTACAATTTCGACAGAGACTGTCATTATCAATTTATTCCTATTAGAATGAACCAAACAGGAAAAAACTTTCATTCCCATCAACTGATGCTGATAGATGTGTCGTCCTACCAACATACACCGTGGTGAACAGAGCGAGAAGTTATCTTTAGCCTGTTTTAGGAATCACGGGAATGAGTGTGCAGTAATAATTAAAACTTTTTGTGAAATATTTGTTACTCTCCTAGCATTTGCTGCACGATCTGTTGATATTGAAAATCACAATATCACAGATAATTTTGGACCAAGGCAAGCGGATTCAGAATAGAAATGGTGTCGTTCCATATGATAACGCATGACCTAAGCGCTGTGATTGATTACCACAACCCCCGTTCTCTATCTTCCCAATTTCATGTGCAGATATTTGTTTAGAATATTTAATAATGATATCTATATAATGAACATTTATAGGTATTCCGGAACGTTCAGCTTTCTTCCTTATATGTACAATTTCTAACTTTTTAAAAGCATAAAAAGGGTAATCTATTTCTAAAAAATGAATTGCGAAATTTGAGTTACTTGTCTAGTGTATAAGGAAGCACCTACGTTCTTTAATCCGAATTTTAAAGGGTCGTCTTGTTTGCTCAATATAAGGGAACCATTACAATGAGTGTCAATAATCAAAGTAAGGTGTTGTTTAATTATATAAATGGACGATTTCAAAGTAACCACCGTATCAACTCAGTATTAGATATATATATATATTAGGCTGTGCCAAAAAAACTCGATATCTTTTTTTTCTTGCTTTCCGCTTAAAATATTGAAAAATATTTCTAAACAAATATTCTGTTAGAAGCGGAGCTCATAATTTCAATTTTAAGAGGTCCATCATCGAATCTGAAATTTTACCGTTTAAAAAACACAGAAAAATGATTTTTTTACCGTATTTATTCTTGCAACCCAGGAAGAAATTTTTTTTCTATAAAATCCATGGCTATATCTTATAGTACACTAAATTTTCATTATTTTTTATTGGATTTTTGTGCAAACATCAATATTTTACTTACAAAAAGTTAATAATACAAAAATAATGACTTTACACGCCTGTAACTTTTCAAGTATTGACGATACAAAAAAAAATATATATAAAACTTTTTTGTTGGACATCAAATAAGCTACAAAATTGCTATTTAACTTTTTCGTCTAACTTTAATAGTTTAGCTGAAAAAAGCAAAAAACGGAAAATTTTGATTTCAAAGCTCTGTAAAAAAATCAAATAATGAAAATGGAAATTCGGCTCAATGAGATTTTTTGTTCCAAATTTAGTGTACTATAAGATATAGCCATGGATTTTATAGAAAAAAAATTTCTTCCTGGGTTGCAAGAATAAATACGGTAAAAAAATCATTTTTCTGTGTTTTTTAAACGGTAAAATTTCAGATTCGATGATGGACCTCTTAAAATTGAAATTATGAGCTCCGCTTCTAACAGGATATTTGTTTAGACATATTTTACGATATTTTGAGCGGAGAGCAAGAAAAAAAAATATCGAGTTTTTTTTGGCACAGCCTAATATATATATATAACATGTTTAATGTTCAAATTGTAGGATTCCACTCAAATTTAAACAACCATGGCATAAACGAGAGCAGTCCAACTATATCTCCAATCAACGTTTCTCATACAATTCCTTTGATGTATTCCTCTTCCGGGATTTCCGGTACGAACAATGCCTCCGTGGGCTTTTTGCCGCCCAGCTCGAACTACAATAGCAGCATATCATCCCCGTACCATAGTCTTGGTCACTCTTACTCCGCCAAAAGCAACCTGATTGGTGGTGGACTCTCAACGTTGAGTCAGCAAACGAGTATAGGTAATAATATGTTTTGATGATGATATCGCTGTATAGGAGCTAGTGTTGTTTATTCTTTTGGCTAGTTCGCTGAATAGAATCAGTTTATAGAACGAAAATGCTAGATGCAGCTTTCATTTTCATCATGATCGATTTCCCGTTTGAGTATTTAGAGGCAAAGGCAGTCTTGGAAGACGCGAAATGATATCATGATGAGTTCAATAACTCTCTAAAGTCACTGTTTTTAGAATATTAAAACGTAGGAGTGATTCTTGATCAACATGTTCAGCACAAATAGATAATTGAAAATGTACTAGGTTTAGGACACACGAGTTCAGCTTTAGGTCAGATAGGACTTGGACAGTCTGGAATTTCCCAGCCTGGATCCTTGGGTCAGACATCGTTAGGACAACTGGGTACTTTGGGCCCTACGTCCGGTTTAGGACAAAACATATTAGGACAAAATTTAGGATCAAGTCTTGGTGCTACTACATCCGTTAGTTTGGGAACATCCCTTCTCGGTAAGGTTGACGTTTCTTATCCACAACTGTTATTTTGCTTTGTGCTATTCCAATGGTAATGTTTTAAGGTAACACTACGCTTGCTACGTCGATTCTTCCGCCTTCGACGTACACCACAAGCAATGTCACGAATGTTCCATTTCCCCACAATCCCACGTCCCTTCCTCAGGTGGCCTTTAATCCGAACACCAATCTCAGTCAGTACGCACTGACATACAATCCCGTGCCCCCAACCACCTCCTACAGTAATAATGTTACTTTTTCTAATCCTCTCACGTCGCAATTCAACAATATGAATCTTAGTGGACCGTCTGCAATGTCGATAAAGTTGAAACCATTTGAAGAAGTCGAACTGGGTAAGTCAGTCATGTTGGAACAACAGTTATTACTTACTATCCGGGTTTTAAACTGCATCACATCCTAAAGTTAATTGAGAAACCTTTAATTCGTAATGGACAATTTAATTTCACTTTGAGCCACGCACCATAGTTACAATAAATAGCAATTACTTCTCCTTAACGATAGTTAATTATCCAATCAGATGTAATTGCTATTAAATTAAAGTTTGAATCAATTAGATACTGATTGAGATTGTATCGTTAGGAGTAGGTAGGCGGGCAGCGACACCCGTTACGCCTTATCCCCCTTCGTGGGCTTTGGCATCTTCCATAGGGATATCCGAAAACCGACCGGTTTCTAGGATGATGCCCGATGGACTTGAATCAGATTGGAGCGCAATGCATGGTAGTGAAAAGAGCTACCTAAATGGCCACAATACCGAAGGTCAAGTCGATATGTTAGACATACCAGGAAAGGGGAGATGCTCGGTATATATAGTCAGGTTGGTCCAAAACAAAACCACAAGATTCTCGATATGCAACCCTTTTTCTCGCATATTTCTTTATTACATTACAATTGGAGGATACCTATTGGTATCCGAGAAATGGGAGGAGCCTAAAAACATGGCGCCGATTAGGGAAAATTTATCGTAGTTCCTATAGTGTACCGTGCAATTTCCAAGTTTTTAAATTACGATAAAATGATAAGTATTGACACAATATGTGGTTGGGCTGACACAAAGCCTCGGAAAGGAAATTTCGTTGAAGGTGAGCGTGTTTTTAATGCCAATCACATTATAAAATTCGGAAATAACAAATCCGGAAGCTAGCCTTCAAATTCCGTCAAGTTTACTGCCTACTTTTTACAAACTTCGGATTTAAAAAGTGATTCACGTTATATAATTGGTGAGGTGATTCTGGGTGATTTAAGCAATATCATATCAATGACTTGCACGTGCAAAGCCGATTTAAGAGAACGTTGCAAACACATTATTGCAACTTTGTTGTATTGCAGCAGGTAGGTTCTTAACCTCAAAATACTTATATCGTATCATTAGAATTGTGTTAAATCAATTACACAGGAATAAATAATTTCTCACTTTATAATTTTAGTATGATTCTAGTTTTAAATATTAAGGTTATGGCTGATGGTAAATACTTGCTGAAATATAATCATGTGCATTAAAATGACGTGAACAAATTTTTATTCCGGAATTCACTTCTTTGATACCTACTGCTTTCATCCAAGCTTCTATTAGTTTACTTTTTTCTCTAATTTTCCGAATATATTTTTTACATATATAAAACGGTTAGTTTTTATTGGAAAGTAGTTAATGTAGGTGAAGAGTGAAGATCTATGTCTGAAGTGCTATTGCAGCTTTTCACTGAACATATTAACTTTTTATTTGATTTAACTTTAGAAGAAAACTTCGTCGACTCCATCATCAAAAAAATTTTTACTTTTTTAACGTGTTTTATTATTTTAATAAACAATTTTACAATTTGCGTGCACAGTTCCTATGTAAATTTTTCCCTCATTCGAGTTATAAATTTTGCCACCAGATGGTGTATGCCCATTTGACGGATCCCAATAGTAGAAATAAAACAAAACACTGTGCTTTCACAAAATTTTTATTACACAACAATTATTTCTCTAACCCTGTAGCCTCATTAGGCGAAGAAGGGTATCTATTGTAATTGTATTTTCTTAGGTTTTCATATGAGCCCGAACCAGATGCAGAAGAAGAATTATCTGTTCAAGCTGGAGATTACATTTTGGTGTGGGGAGAACCGATAGGTTCGGGTGGTTATTTGGATGCAGAAACGTTGGATGGTAGAAGAGGCCTTGTCCCTTCCCATTTCGCCCAGAGACTTATAGGTATGTTTCCAGGAGCTTGTAGGAAACAACTGCTGAGGATATTTTTCTAGGTGACGATCTCCTTGAGTTCCATCAAGCAGTTCTTTCCACATTACGCGAAGAGGAAATAAATGCAGAAGCGTATGCTGCTGATTTACAAAAATTGAACGAATTGGCAGAGATGTCTGAGGGCCAAGAAGACGATAACACCGATAGTGACCAAGGTATTTTTGGGTGTGTTTGGTGCGGCGAACGCTGCTAGTCTCTAAACGTACATAGTCAGCTCATGGTATGACCGTGTCTTGCAAGACTGAACAAACATATTGGACCCGTAACTAATATATGATCATTATTGAATAGATTAGTTATTAGACAGATTAGTAATTAGTATATATATATACACCATTTGAACCTGACTTTATTACTGCGACTCTTGCAGTAACGGTTGTATTAACTCTTTATTCCGTACTTTATACTCTTTCCATAGAACTGACTGTAAATGTACTTTTAAATGTAGTAGAAGGTGAGACTTTAAGTACACTTTGCATAAAACTTGTACCTTTATTGTAGTTACAGTTGATAAAAATGCATGATTTCTTTCAACAATATTTTCACGTTGCTTTTAGATGCTAATAGAAAATGAAAACAAATGCTTTGGCTTCTACTTTTTTGATTAATTTGATTGAACATCTTTTTCAACAATTTGTCAGCTTCAAATATTACCGATCCAAAGTCCTTTTTTGGGTATTATCTGCATTAAGCAGATTCAATAATTCCAATTTTTATGAAATATCCATTTCTACCTCACGGTTTTACTTTGGAAGACCTCACAAAAACCAAAGGTCTCTGATCGATACATTCTATTAACGAATTTTTGGTCTACTATCCATTTTACTCTCAACTCCATCCTCAAGTGCTTTTTTTGTAATTGTTGCTTCTGAAACATGGATTACCAATCCTAGAAAATGAAAAATGAGATCTTGTCAAATCTGTGCCTAAGTGTCTCGCAATGTTTCTCTTCACATTTTCGTCTATCTCATGACTTCTGATCAAATGTTATTTTCTTGGTGTCGTCCTTCCTTCTTCTTTCTTTTTCACATTCTCTTCACAGAGCTGACTTGTTACGTTAATGCACATTCAGTAGCTAGACTGACACTAGACACTCGACAGCTGACCTCTTCTTCTCGGTGCTAGTTCCCGCACCCAAGAACTTGACGTTGGAGCGTCAGCTGAACAAGAGCGTACTAATTGGATGGACTGCCCCTGAGACCGGCCCTGGCAATCAAATCGAAAGTTATCACGTCTACGTGGACGGCGTACTGAAGACGACCATCAAGGCCACCGAGAGAACAAGAGCCCTTGTGGAAGGGGTCGACAGTAATAGGGTAAGTACTCCCCCACTTGCATCATTTATAGGGTTGTTCGGAAAGTCATTTCGTTTTTTTTTTTGTGGAAATGAAAGACAGTTTTCGTATAATAAACAAATACTTTATTAAATTGTATATTGACCATTCTGGTCCAACACCTTTTGCCATCTTTCTGGTAGTAGCATAATTCCACGCTCATAAAATTTTTGGTCTTTGCTGGCAAAAAACTGTTCGAGGAGGTTTTTGACCTCCTCATTTGAGGCGAAGGTTTTACCGTCTAAAAAATTTTGGACTGACCGGAACAAATAATAATCCGATGGTGCCAGGTCTGGAGAATATGGTGGGTGTAGCATTGTATCCCATTCAAGCTGCAAAAGCTTTTGGCGAGTGACCAAACTTGTGTGAGGTCTCGCGTTGTCTTGGTGAAACACTACACTGATTAGTTCTGACCTTTTCTGTTGAAGTGTATCATTCAGTTTGTCCAGCTGATGACAGTAGACTTCCGAATTAATCGTTGTGTTATCCGGTAAAAGCTCAAAAAGAACTATTCCTTTAAAATCCCACCAAACAGACAGCATCACCTTTTTTTGGTGAATATCGGCTTTGGAAATGGTTTGAGCCGGTTCATCTTTTTTGCTCCATGACCTCTTGCGTTTGACGTTGTTGTATACAACCCATTTTTCGTCCCCAGTGATGATGCGCTTCAAAAACGGATCATTTTCGTGACGTTTGAGAAGCGAATCGCAGACGTCAATGCGACGACACAGATTTCTCTCTGTGAGAACATGGGGAACCCATACATCGAGCTTCGAGGATAATCCCAGGCCTTTCAAGTGGTCATAAACTGTTGAATTTAACCTCAATCCGATCTCACGTGTTGTTATTCGCCGGTTCACATCAACTAATGCCTTTATCGCGTCTTTATCAGCTTCAACCGGTCTTCCCGAACGTGGTGCATCTTCGACATCAAAATTGCCGGATCGAAATTTAGCGAACCAGTTCTGGCACTGGCGTACTGTCAACACACCTTCTCCATACACATCAGTCAATTTCTTTCTGGCTTGAACAGTATTTTTACCCTTTCTGTAGTAAAACAGTAAGATATGTCGAAAATGCTGCTTATCGCTCTCCATATTTAAAAGGGCACCAACCAAAAACTACTGCGTAGAATTAATTGGAATTTTTCACACACAAGCCTTGCTATATGAACTCTCAAAACATATAAAAATTATACGGCTTAAATGTGAAGTTGGGTGCAAAAGAATGCAATTAAATTCTCTGTCGGGAAAAAACCAAATGACTTTCCGAACAACCTTATAAGTTTAATTTTTGATCGAGGAGCTCGAGAGCAAAATCGATGAAACTTAAAGTGGTTGTTAAGTGAATGATGTCACTCCTCCAAAAATATAATCCATTATTAATACGTACATTCAAATCTGTGTTGGGTATTGGCTTCGATGATTAGCGAAAAATCCTTTTCTTTTTTCTCCTCTAGCCTCATCGGATTAGCGTGAGATCGGTCACGGCGAATCGTCGAACGTCACGCGATGCAGCCTGTACAATGATCATAGGTCGTGACACGCATCAATTGGGTCCGACGGCTGTCCGAGCGACCAATGTTACAGCCACATCGGCCGTAATCAGTTGGTTACCTGCCAATTCCAACCATCAACACGTTGTGTGTGTCAATAATGTGGAAGTTCGGACAGTCAAACCTGGAGTGTATCGGTAAATTCGTGCATTTCTCTAAACGAATCTAGACACTTAGGAAATTACTTTTAGGCACACGATAACCGGCTTGACTCCAAATACCCAATATCGTGTAACGGTTAGAGCCAAACATCAAAGACACAACCAGAACGTTCTGAACATTGCGGACGACTTGCCCATACCGGCAGCAGCTCATACCGACTTTAGAACATTACCAAAAGGGCTTCCAGATCCTCCCAGTGATATACTGGTAGAACCAGGTGACGTTCCGAATTCCCTCCTCAATACGTTATTGTTAAAATTGACGCCATTGTTTTTAGGTCCCCAAGATGGAACCCTTCTAGTGACTTGGCATCCGGTACAATCCCCTCATCACGTGGGGTCGACAATAACCGGTTATTCCGTCTTTGCAGACGGTAAAAAGGTAACAGACGTTGATTCGCCGACTGGTGATCACGCATTGATAGATATCAGCAAACTTCTCGGTTTAAATCCGAGACATGTGACCGTACGAACTAAAGCTCGGGACAGTCAATCCGTCGATTCCATCCCAACACCCATACCGCCCACAGTTCTTAGGGGTGGAGTTGCAAGGGTGAGACAGAAACCTCATTCCGCTGTTCCCATACATATGAGACAGCAACAGGGAAACCAACAAAGACCACAACAAGGGCAACAGGTAATAGCAGGATTATGATTATTCGTTTTAATTGACTGACAATAATGTGAAATCGTCTATCAGATTATAGAACACGACGAGAATCTAAGTGACAAGGAAATCTTTCCTAACAGTAACATTCATCGGCAGCAATCTAGCATACCTTCTATAGGTAAGTAAGCGACTTACAGAAAATAGTTTAAAGGGAGTGTTGCTTAAGTTATTTAGAAGCAGACGTTTACTATTCCTTTCTCAACTTTCAGCGAAAATTACATAAGTTACGTCAGCAATATGAAACGTGGTTGTTTTACTACTCTGTAACTTTCTTCTTTTCTGTTTCTACTCCGTAAAACGCTGTGTAGGTTGTGATTCGGTGTCCTAGTTTTGTTTTTTAACAGCTCCCAAAAAAAAAAAATCATGTTCTTTTTGAACTCTAGCCCAGCGCTCATCCGTTGCAGAAATAACTAAAGAGTCTTTTGAAACTAATTTATCTGAGGACGAGATGCAAGACAGGCGCATGCAACGTCAGCGTCAATATCAACCTTACAATCAGCCACAGCAAAGGTCTGACCAGCAACAGCAGCAACTAACGCCTCAACAACAGCAGCAAGTTCAGCAGCAACAGCAACAGCAGCAGCAGCAACAACAGCAGCAGCAATACTACCAACAAAGTAAATGCCACTATGCCTGTGTGTTTTTGTCTGCATTTGCACTAAAACGGATCTTAGGGAGCTTATTTTATTTACTTATTTTCGTCAGTTTTTGCTTAAGGTGTGCTCGTTGCGTCCTGAACAGTTCATTCTTCACAACTAATAATACGCATCCTCTCTTGGATCTACTATACTCTGCTTGACTGTGGCAATCATGCCAATTGTGCCCATCGTTGCAGTTCTTTTAACATTAAACAAATGCAGGTCAACAAAATCAAAGAGGAACCGGATTAAACAGAGGCGGACAGCAGAATCAAATGGGTAGGAGCGGTCAGCCGAATCAGCAACTGGGCAATCAACAAATGATGCCCAATCAACCACCAATGGCGCAGAAAAGGGCACGATGGTTTGTGGCTCTTTTTGATTACGACCCGGCCACCATGTCCCCTAATCCTGACGCTTGCGAAGAAGAGCTGCCGTTTAACGAGGGCGACACAATCAAGGTGTGGGGAGACAAAGATGCAGACGGATTTTATTGGGGAGAATGCAGAGGTAACTATTTTACGCAAGAAGCGAACTGAATCATTTGACCAGCATGTAACTTTTTAATAATAAAGGTAGAAGAGGATACGTACCGCATAATATGGTCATGGAAGTGGAAGGTGGAGGCCAGAATAGAGACCGATGGGGTGATATTTACGCCAATATGCCGGTCAAAAAAATGGTTGCCCTGTATGACTATGATCCTCAAGAGCTTAGTCCAAACGTTGATGCCGAGGTAAGGAACTAGTAGATATACTGTTGTTTTGTTGGTCATCAAAAAGAAAAGAGATTCTGAAATTCCGCATTCTCTTGGTCATCAATATTAATTTGAAATCATTTTTCGATTTTTATCCACTACAAACTTCCTCAGATTAATGAGGAAAATATTTGTGGATGTGACAACAGCAACAAAAATATTTTCCTCATTAATCTGAGGAAGTTTGTAGTGGATAAAAAAATCAAAAAATGACTCCAAACTAATATTGCATATTAACAACTATTAGTAACTAACAATGCCATAGGGTTTCATACTCTTGGTCATCGTTAGTCTTCAGTACTGTTCATTCCCATTTGCTCATGAAGAGACTTCAAACTAAAGTTTTAATGATTTACAAAATATATTTGAAAATTCAGCGAATGAATAATCTTATCGATAAGAACCGCTTTCTGTAACTCTACCCCCCACGTTTCGCCCCAACTGCAGGTGGAACTGTCGTTCACAACCGGTCAAATAATTAACGTTTATGGAGAAATGGACGACGATGGTTTCTACATGGCAGAAATCGACGGTGTCAGAGGTCTAGTGCCTTCTAATTTTTTGACAGAAGCTCCAGATCAGTACGGCGCTGGACAAACCTCACAAACCATGGGTCCGCCGGGGCGTAATCAAAGAGGACGAGGGCATGGACCGGGCGCTAGAGGTCCTCCTCCCCCGCCCAGAGACAACAGACAAAGGAAGGCAGGTAAGTGATCTACAAAATCTGTTTTTCGCACCGTTGATCATAGTAAAACTGATTTGTGAAGACGGGTGGTTGTTAAAGAGAAAACTCCTTGGCTAATATCGAAAGATTGCTTTTTAGCAACCATCCTCTTCTCATTGAAAAGGAAAAAAAGAAATTATCTACTTTTTATAATTTTGATACACATGTTTGTCTAGTTCAATCGTATACGTGACGCGTATTTTGAATCTTTCTTTAACAATAAATTTTTCGAAACTTGACCGTTCGTTTATTTCAATCATTTAGTTCTTATAACTATTTGGAAATGCTGTTTCTCGACGCATTGTATCAAAATTGATGTACATGTACATTTCTATGCTTTACGATAAACTATGTACTTATATGTATTACTGAAACTTATATGATGGCGAATGATTCTCTGAGCTTTTTTCTATTAAGTATATTGTGTTTTCGGATACTTATGTTGTGCCATTGATAAGTGTCGGTGTTTTAATTTTGTTTGTTTGGAAAAATAATCAGTATTATATATTACTTTGTCGCTTTAACTGTATCAATGTTAAAAATGCACATTTGAATTGAAATGAATGCAATCTGCTAGCTCTATCTCTTTCTATCTCAGCTGGGCTCGGACATAACGTGGAATTGTCGACGTATTTATGTATTGTTTAATGTAAAATAATAATTAATTAAGCCTTACTATTGTATGTATGGCCTACTAACATCCAATCAAACTTATTATCACTTCTATCCCTGCTATAGTTTGTTTGCTTATCAAAAAGTTCGTCATTTCTATTATGGCAAATTGTGAGTTACAGTTTACAATAATATAATGTTGGATTGCTTTTTAAAGTTACGATATCTTTTTATAGTAATACTATTAAAATAAACGATGACCTGTATTTATACCCAAAATAATGACTACAACAGAAACAGAATTGAAACATCATACACTTAAAAGTAAGAACAATATTTATATTCGGACGCAATACAACAACCTACTTATATACTATTACTACTACTACTACAGCTAGCACATCAAATTTCATCAAACAAAACAGCCACGTTAGAGAAATAAAATTAATGTTCGCGAGAGGGTTGAGAATACTTGTTTGGTGTTGTCAGTACGACTTTCACAGAGACTGCCTGGTTTCTAGCACCAGCGTTTGTCTCCAACATCCATCAAAAGAGAAATGGCTCTTTCGGCCTCCTCGATTCAGAACATTTCAGCCCCCCTTACAACCCCTCCCCCTTTAAAATATCTCAGATACCTTTACACCTGATTCTATGAGGAGACTAGTTCAAACTTACTGTCTCTAAAGTGAATCTTGAATTATTGGATTCATTTTTGGGCAGTTTTTTGACATCAATACGTGGTGCTAGATAAAGGCTGCAAGTCATTTTGGTTTAACACGAAATTAAATAACAAAATTTATAAACAGTTCCAAATAATGTCCGAACTAGCGTTGACTGTACTGTGTGTTGTTTGTTGCTAGATGCCTGCCCTACTGTGTTACCCTCTCAGTTAGACAATGTCAACACAGCGACACCGAACACACAAGTCTTCACCGAGCACCAGGTAACTTGATTCACTCGCGCTCGCCAAAATCGCTCTCTCTCTCTCTCTTTCTCCCTCTTCTCTATATGTCTATCTCTTTGTATCGCTGCATGTTTGGCCCGTAAGCCACTGACGCCCACGCAACGTTTTACCACCATCAACCACTGTATACCACCAAAGCCCTTCACCACTACCCAAATATATATGTGCATATATCAACTAATAGATACTATGCATATAACATTATATACATAGATATGTTCTAGTCTACTCCGCTAATTAATTTTACACTTTATTACTTACCAACATAGATTTTTGATCCCACAAGACCTTAATGTAGACTTGGTGTCATGAAACGTTTTAGCTTGAGGAAAAGCGAGGGTAAAAATCTATGTGGCAAGCACTAATTTGTGATATTATTACTACTAATTATACAAATAAATACGTAAAATTTTAGTTTTTTATTGATGCTACAGGATTCACACTGGTCGGTATAACTAATGTTTGTTTTTACTTTTCTTTCAGATATTTTAAATTATTTGTATGTTCATCAATCATTCCCACTTAAAGAAAGTTATTTTTTTGGCTTTCCCTTATGGTACACTTTATTTTATTGAAATATTAACACCTAGTTAGATATTTTTTATTTTGGTAAATACTTAGTAGAATGTATACTAAAAAAATTTCTGTAATGTTTCAGGGAAAACATGACATTCACAAAACCCCGATATAAAACAGCACGAACTGAATAACACTCAATGAAAATTATTGCAACGTTCCTTTCCTACCCCTTTTCTCCATTATAAATGTTGCAATTTTTACGTTTCACCAATTTAACAACAACCAATTTGCAGGCGAGGGCGAGAGAGGGGGTGATCGGAACGAGAGGTGGTAATTTGTCACAAAGCACCAACCAGCAACAACTTTCGAATCAACAGAGCTACGCACAGCCTCCTGCAGGTCAAACTGGAGGCATTTTCGGCAATCAAAACACCATGGGACAAACACCTTTCAGTGGTCAGAGTGGTAGTGGAAGTGGCCAGCAAGGTTTTAGTGGCAGCAATCAACAAGGATTCGGTGCAAGTGGTCAACAAATGTTTGGAGGGGGCAGTCAACAGCAACCGTTTGGTACCAGCAGTCAGCAAACATTTGGAGGAACACAACAGGCGTTTCCTGGTAGCAGCCAACAAGGTTACGGTGGTGGAGGACAACAGGCTTTCACGGGTAGTGCTGGGGGACAAATTGCGTCGAGGTTAATGCATAAAGGAGTTCCTCAAGTTGTACCAAACGTTAATTCGGCACCGATGAATCAACAACAGCAGCAGCAGCAACAGCAGCAACAACAACAACAGCAGCAAACAAATCAACAACAAGGACCCAACCTCATGCAAAAGCTGAACGAAATTACGGCGCCAGGTGGTGATATAATCTCAAAAGGAAAGGAACTGATTTTTATGAAATTCGGATTGGGAGGTAAATAACCATGCACATTACCACTGTTACGTATTGTGTTATATTATCAGCTGTTTTTGAAACCCACAACGTTACACTAAATTAAGTCAACTAAATAGTAATAGTATATTAAGGGCAATAATCGGAAGCAAGGCAAATTTTCTTGCAAAACAACATTTACTTGGACAGAGAAAAATTAAAAAATTTAAATGAAAATGGTTTTAGATTTACTACAAATTTTAAGTTCTTGGGTTATCTACTTATCGTTCAATTTAAAATAAAAAACTATCAGTATTATGCTGTATGCCAGCTGCAAATAAATAAATAATTATTTCAGTACAAATTTGACCAAATATATAGTTTAGTCTAATTAGATAGAAGAGAAACGATCGTTGTTAATATGTAAATAAATAAACAAATAGGTTTCAGAAACAGCTTTTATGGCACAACTTTGTTATTAATTATTATTGACTAGATAATATGCTGTTGAATATAAAGTGCACATTTGGACATTGAAAAATTATAAATTTGTCGTCGTACAAAATAAAATTGGATCTGCTTCAAT